TCCCTACCTGTTCTACAGAGACAATCCACCAAAAAACATTTCAAATTCAACACCTCTTTGGGCATTAACTTTGTTGATAAAGAAAACATTAAAGTAACAGAGATGAGCATAATCCTTCCCTGTAGTCTTGGTGGTTTCTAAAGTTCCTTTATCAGAATTGCTCTGCTCAGAAGAGTGGACTTACTTAATGCTTTGCTAACAAAACTAGCTAAAGACAATGCTGTTTTAGATAAACATTACTTGTTTCTATAAAGAGATAGGTACAACAAGAAATGTCAAATCATTATAGTATACTTGCAAGATATTATATTGTGGTAATTCTGGCATTTAGGATTATAAGAACTAACTGCTTTTACAAATAATGCAAAATTTTTAAGGAAACTCTAAAAGAATATTTTTTTAGGTGTGTTTCATTACAGTTTCATAGCTGGAAACAACGAAATTTCTTGTAATCTGTTGATGCTCCACAGAACACTAGGACATCGTATTTTAGCAACAGAACAGGAATATATTTTTTTGTTTGATTGCACAAAGAACAAATCAAGAATGTGGAAAGTAACCAAAATTCATTTTTATTAGGTGTTGTATTTTATATGGGTTTGTTGGTTAGCTTTGCTAGCTAAAAAAACAGAGCTGACAAAGTAATACTAAATAACAAAAAATAACTGTTAAAGATAGGAGTCAACACTGGTGACTCACAGGCCTGTGCCAGAAATCCATTATGTAGACACCTGTTAACAGCCTCCTCTGAAGAAACACAAACCAGTCTGATCAGATCTGGGAGCCCAGGTCAGAAATGCTAGTGGTCTTTGAACATGAAGTTTCGAGACACTAAAAAACTTTTTAAAATTAATAAAAATGACGTTTGGATTCTGAAGCATCATCTTACTGACTGGAGGAAACAAAAGCAACCGCAGGTATATTGCAAGCCCCAGTGCTTAGAAACTATGCCTCTGTTAATAACTCACTTTGGCTGACAAGGAGAGATTCAGTTAGGTAAGACAACGTATTTTTAGACCTTGGCTAATTTTTAATCCCCATCTTTCTTCTTGCGATAGTTCTACGGATGGATAAACACATTTCAAATCTACCAGTTTTCCTCTGACATTGCCTCTACTACCAGTTCAGCTTCTGAAGCCGATTCTGGAGGACAGCCTAAAAACTGCTTCAGTGGAAGTAAAGTGATTAGTAAACAGAAGAGGCCATAAAACAGCTATTCAGTCAGAAGAATAATGAATTAAGGGATTCTGCTCAAAGAAACATAAGCAAAGTAACTGTCATTTCCAAGACAACCTCACAGAGAAAGAGAGATCAAGATCTTAATGCTTACACCCGAACCATGAAAAAACTGCCCTCCAAAGCAAAGTAAGTTCAACATGCACACATGCAAAAACTATCTAAGCCAATCATGCACAACTAACACAGCAAAGCTGTGACTCTAAGAAGACTCTCGTTTTAAAGATCCTTGATACTTCTGTAGTTTCCATCAGGCCAAGAAAGAGTACCTAACAAAGTTGCACTGTTATTTGCCCTTTAAGAGTCATCACATTCTGCTCCTGATAAATTAACTTACCTTTCACCTCAAAAAGTCCAATTTAACACTTACTCAACCACATTTTCTAGAAATACATTCCATTTGCTGCCAACCTGACTCTGACAGAACACATGCTGGCATGAACAAAAGCTGAAAGGTAGGACTAGCTTGAGAATCGCATCTTACCTCATTGAAATCTCCAACCCTTGGAATGTGATTTTTTCTACTTTTGCCAAGGACAGCTCCAGAACTAGAAATGACCACTGCAGTATTCCACAATGTTCCCCCGTGTGTTTCGTCTCGCTCCAGGATTGGAGATATCACAACCATATTGTATTTCTTTGCCAGCTACACAAATGAACACAATTCTTCTATTATACACAAGCCTGCAGTATGTTCACATTTTGTTCATAAAGAAGGATTAAAAAGTTTTCATCTGGCCTATTACTCTGAGCGTTATCAAGGGCTAATGCTTAACTTGTACTGGCATGCCCACATAACCAGTTTCTTCAGCAAACATGGATACATCACAGAGAGTCTTCCCCCTGAATCCTTCAACTAGAAATGCAAGGTACCAACAGGGAAAAGCAATCTAACAGCAATGGTCAAACTACATAGCTGACCTCTATCTATTCACAGGTATAGGAGGAGGCAGATCCCATCCCATTCTTCTGTCTGGTGAAAGACACCGCAGCTAGCTGAAAACAGTTATTAAAGCGAAAGTAAAACGTTAAATAACATCGGTGTAAGTTCAGAAATAGAGCAACTTCTGAGTGCCAGTTTACCAACACGTCTTTTCCTTCAAATCACTTCTCTTTCATTTATCCACACTTCCCCAGTGTCATTAATTCCATAAGGAGATGCAACATGTACTTGCCTAGATCAGACTATAGATATTATGCTGTGTACAAAAGCTTAATAGGGCAGTGTATATCTGGGTAAATTTGACATCAAAACAGTCTTCCAGCCACTTATAAAATATTGAAATTCCTTATTTAAAAAAAAAAAAAAAGTTAGAAAACAAAAATAAACTCTGTCACCCTTGCAGCCAACAATCTCTGGTAAAATAAGAGCCAGACAGTAACAAATCTCCTTGGGTGCATAAAAAGACTCCTACATTTGGTGTCATTTCACAGGGAGATGCAAAGACTTGTGTGAAAGTGTTCCCTGTTGGGAAAAGCCTGGCTGTTCTCACACCTTCATAAATGCACTGCTTAATGCTCAAATACTCTAGGCAAGAAAAAGCTTTTCCATTTAAATGAAAATTAAAAATATTTGTATGAAAAATGGTTCCTCCCTTGAAAATTCAGGAACAATTAAAAGGGCAGTTTCAAATGCCTTCCATGGCAAAAGGGAGTCTATGAAGGCAAACAGTTTAAAAAATAAATACCAGGCACAGCTGTTGTCCATTTCTAACTTCATTCACTATCATAATGTTTGTCAAGCAAGTTAAAATTTTTATTATTTCAGTTTCCTCAGTGGTACAAGACCAGTACACAAGAAAGAAATCCATGCTCATCAGCGGCAGGTATGGGCTGGGGTTGAAAGCTGGATGTGGGGATTTTTTACCTCTTGACAGAATTTTGTTGTTGGCCCATCCTCTGCTGACTCAGCAAATTCAGTCCAAGGAAGCTTCTCTCTTGTACAGAAAGCAAAGGGCATGGCTGGAAAACACCAATGCAAGACAAAATTGACAAGAATGTTCATGTCGCTCAAGAAATACACACTGCTTGCATCAATACAGACAAAAAAGTAATTAAACACTTAAAGATTCAACTGTTTTCCTTGTTTTAAGGCAAAAACTAATTAAAAATACTTTAAACAAGGGCGAGGAGTTTTGGGCCTGCACAGAGCAAAATAGAAGAGAAAGAATGCACTTAGTGAAGCCTTACTAGAGGTAAAAATACAAAATATACTCCAGTCACTAGTGTACACTTTCTGTGAATAACTTGTTTTCACAAACATTTTATCAGCCACCAGCTTGGTTTTTGCCTCTATTCAACCTCTAAGACTCCATCTTAATTAAAACTGAATTTTCTTACTATCTGTCTAGAAAAAAACCCAAACATTTTAGGAGAAAAAAAAAATAAATAAGGAGAGGATCATGAAAGATGACATGGAAAAGGAGCACATCTAGAAATATCACTGTTGCAGCACACACCAGTCTTCAATATAACAGACTTCACAGTTCTGCTAAGACTCTGGGTTTTCCTTCAGAAAGCAAATCAGTGAACCGTTCTATCTTGGAAGATCTCTGCTGTTTACTTAAAAAACATACTTCTAGTACAGGATATGTGTTAAAATAGAAGGAACTTGACCTCTGAAAATCTAGAAAGAATCAGACAAAATACTCACTCCAAGCCTCCTGGAAACAAACTATGTTGACCCCAGATTTCGCAGCTACTTCCACAATCTCTGCAATGCGTCTGTGCAGTGCAGCCACCTGATTGTGAGAAATGTCATGCTATAAAAAATGCTGTATGTTCTAAGTCACTTGTATATTAACAGCCTGGGTTTACAGGTTTTGTTCACACTGAATTTATCTTGTTCTATACTTAGTCTCATTGCTTTCGGGGGGATAACTCAAGAAGTTATTTCTGAACACTGATAAAAGAAAGAGTTAGGTTTTTAAAAGCATTTAGATGCTGAAAATAGAGAAAGCAATCCAATGGAATTCTAATTCTACGGTTACAACATTTAAATATACGGCACCTCATTGCTTATTGATCTGCAAACAACCAAAAAATGTAACAAAACCAGCAAAAAATACGTTGTTGCTCATTGTAAACAACCTACAGAATGATGTTAAGTAAATGCAAATTCAAAGTAAAATACTCAGAATCTTGAAACGTGATGTAAGGACAGTATTTCCTTGCTTATCTCACACATATGGATCTTGGATATTCTCTGAGTTACAAACTCCAAGTTATTTTCTAAATCCCTCTGTCATAAAACCAAAGCAGATTATTGCTAAGAAAAAACATCGAAGCATTTATTAATTAGTCAGAAAACATTGTTTCAAAGTACTTTTTTCTTGAGTATTCTACTTAAATATAACATAGGGGTAGCCCTTTGCATTGATACTTTCAGGTGTCAATAAAAAAAAAGGTTCCAAGAAAAGTCAACAGTGACCTATGAACTCAACAACTATACACTGATTTACAGAAATAGTTAACTAGTTATTTATGAGGTAAAATCGTGAACATAAATGGTAATCTTTCAACAGATGCTACAAAGAATCCACAAACTTGATCCATTTACTGAATTAATTATTTGCATCTGAGACAGGTAATATCTTTCCAAAAGAAATTACTTCAGAAATGCTCTGTCCTGTCACTGTATAAAACTAGTCCTCCAGGAGATTTTATAAATACGGTATTTTCTTTCACTTTTTAGAAGCTACTTTTAGGAGGCTGTTTCTCTACATGTGTCACCTCAGTGCTTTTGTGTCCAAGATGATAAGAGATGATGGTCATGTTGTAATAGGATTTCACTTACTGCTGTACAAAAAATAATGAACACAGCTTTATTAATCTGTGTTTACTGTAGCAGATTTTCCTATAATGGAACATTTCTCAGTTAAAACAAGAACTGCACCTGTGCTTTCCATGGGTTGATTTTGGGTAAATGATTTTCTGGTTCATTTTAGAGGCAAAGGATTTCCATGTACAAAATCAGTGACTAAATATTTAGCTTTGGAAACACCGCAAACAGGGTGGGCAATCCACTAAGTGAATGCAACACAAGAGCTGTTTCTGAGAAACATTAAAACTGAATGTGTCATTTGATCTTAGAGTGTGCTGTATTAAAACAGTGATGGGTCCCATACTGCCAGACAATCAGCAGACACTTCACAATGGAGTTTCTAACATCAGCTACTGTGTTACGCCTCAATCCAGTAGAGCATGAGTTACACACAAACAGCCCAGATCCCAGTTTGTGTACCTGGACTGACACTGCTGTGTCTGTGGGAAGTGGAATTTTATTCTGTATCAGTCCCACTCGAACAATACGTGGCCTTCTCAGTTGCTCTGGTTCAGCATCAAATCCATAGCCCTGTAGCTCAAAATCTCTTTCTTGAGCTGCTGAGAGAGCACCAGCTGGCAAACTAAGTTTTCTGAATTGAACAGGAAACAAAAACATTTCAAGATGAGATGCAGTTAACTAAAAGGATCACAAATGCTGCCTGCCTCTCAGAGACACCCAAGTTCCCATGCCCCAGCTACAAGGGAAGTATCAGGAAGTAGCCAGGTCATGTGCAAATCTCACTGCTCTCCTCCATGACAGCAAACTCACAGCATCCTCCTCTGTAACCATCGGTTCCAGACTTAATACCTTGCTACAGAAATCAAGGAGCATGTATGTACAAACCTTCATCTACCACCCCCAGATTATAAACATTTTCTGTCTAACGTACTTTCCTGATGACAGATCCCCACTTTCCCAGCTCCCCCACCCCAAACCGACCAGATCCTCCCCAGGTCTTTCATTTCAGTCAGCCACCTTGTCACAGGACCTCTGTATCACCCAGATTTCCAAACTGGATTACCTCCTCAACTACCCCACTTACCCACCACAGGTCCTACCCTTCTTTCTCCTTTCAGCCCAGCCCTGTGTCCTGCGAACCCATCCTCAAACTGACCCTTTTCCCTTCATCCCGTGCTAGGCAGCCCCGCGGCGCCC